GGAAAGGAATTCTCGGGTGGGTTTTTGCCCCGGGCTAAGCGGCCGTGTTGAATCCTTCCTGCACACATTGAGCAGGCTCTCCTCTGTCCCAGGCAGTGAAATCCAAGACAGGCCCTGGGGAATACCTCCGGAATTCCCTGTGGCACACGGGAGACACCATGGACCAGGTGAAGCTGCTCTGGAAAGACCCCCGGAATTCGGGCTGGAAGGACAAGACCTCCTACCGCTGGTTCCTGCAGCACCGGCCCCAGGTCGGCTACATCAGGTGAGGCTCAGGGCAGGACCATTCCCAGCAGGAAAATCAGCCTCAGGAATCCCAGAATGGTTTTGGAAGGGACAATCCCCCGGTCCCAGGCTGCCCCAGCCTCCCCTGGGAGAGCATCCCTGGGCCCGGGGAGCTCCGTCACTCCCGGCCGTGTTCCCCTCCAGGGCTCGGTTCTACGAAGGTCCCGAGGTGGTGGCAGACACCGGAGTTGTCCTGGACACCACCATGAGAGGGGGACGCCTCGGGGTCTTCTGCTTCTCCCAGGAGAACATCATCTGGTCCAACCTCCGCTACCGCTGCAACGGTGAGCTCGGAGAGGTGGATCTGGAATTCTCCTCCCTTTCCACCCCTCCACACCTGCACGGGAAAGGGGCAGCGAATGGGAGCCCGTTCTGCCCTGCTGTTCCTGCCCCTGATCTCTCCTCGCTCCAATCCTCAGACACCATCCCAGAGGACTACGAGACGTTCCGGGTCCAGCAGGACTAATCCCACGGAACGTCCCCGCAGCCCGTCCTGCTTCCCACGCCGTGCTCGGCCGCCCCGCTCCCGCTCTGGAATCCTGCCCCAAGAGCTGTCAGCACCTCCCACCGCTCCCTCACCGCCTCCAGCTCCCCTTCCCCAACAGCAAACCCCTGAAAATGCTACACGAATCCTCTGGGAAGGGCAGAGGTGGAGACAGGGAGTGTGACCAGAAGCCTGAGCTGCCGCAAGCCCCGGCTCAGGCCGTGCTGGGAGCTCCCTGCGGCAGCTGCGATGGTTGGGGGAGGTTTGGCGTGGATGATTCCCAGGAATCTTCTCCCTGCTCCAAGGCTCCCGAGTGTGAATGTTTTCCTTTTCGAGACCTGCTGCAAAGCAAACCCAGCACGAGTCTGAGAAGGACGCGCGGAGCAGCCTCGGTCCAAGCTGCTCATTTTCACACGTGAAAAAAGCACTTTAAGGAGAGAATCTTTGCTCTGGAATGTTGGAGAATGAACACTTGGAACGCTGGATAATAAATTCTAGATTTCTCCTTGGTCATGAATGTGTTCTCTCCACTCTCCTGAAGCTTTTCCCTTGCAGATGTGGAAGGGAGGAACCCTCAGGGCTGAGCTCGGTGGGGCTGGATTGGGAATTCTCCTGGAAATGCCAAGGCAGGGAGGCACCATTTCCTCAAGAACCTCCCTGTCCTTAGCCCTGCCTGCCTGGTTCCTGCTGGAACTTCCCAAATCCACCTGGAACTTCCCAAACCCACCTGGAACATCCCAAACCCACCTGGACACGCTGCTGTGTCCCTGCCCTGGGTGGGCTGTGGGATATCCAGAGGGCTCTTCCCACCCCAACAATCCCGGGATCTGGGATCCTCGGGGTGTTCTGTGCCGAGGATCCCTGTGGGTCCAACGGGGGCCATTCCAGGATTCCAGAGCTGGAATTCCAGGATTCAAACTCAAGCCCCTGCTCTTCACTCCCAGGAGTAATTCCCAAATGGCCCAGCTGCATTTGGGATCCTCTCCCTTTTTTCCACAGGATTTTCTCCCTTTTTTTCCATGAGATCCTCTCTCTTTTTTTCCACAAGTTTTTCTCCCTTTTTTCCACGGGATTTTCTCCCTTTTTTCCACAAGTTTTTCTCCCTTTTTAGCATGGGATTTTCTCCCTTTTTTCCACGGGATTTTCTCCCTTTTTTCCACAGGATTTTCTCCCTTTTTTCCATGGGATTTTCTCCCTTTTTTCCATGGGATTTTCTCCCTTTTTTCCACAAGTTTTTCTCCCTTTTTTCCACGGGATTTTCTCCCTTTTTTCCACAGGATTTTCTCCCTTTTTTCCACAAGTTTTTCTCCCTTTTTTCCACAGGATTTTCTCCCTTTTTTCCACAAGTTTTTCTCCCTTTTTTCCACGGGATTTTCTCCCTTTTTTCCACAGGATCCTCTCCCTTTTTCCACAGGATTTTCTCCTTTTTTCCACAGGATCCTCTCCCTTTTATCCCCTGCTCTTCCCATCCCACCCTCCACCCCCTGAAGACAAGAGCCAGTGGATTTTACCCCTTCAGGCCTTTATTTTGATAAAATTGGTCAAGCCCACATAAGGCAACGCACACACGGCTCCGCCCGCCCCCCGCCCGCCCCAACCGCCTCGGAAAATAAATAACACAAACCAAGAGAGGACTCCATGTAGTGTTTGGCTTTGCAGTATAGAAATTCCACACAATGATTCTGTTGTGTTGCTGTCGTTAATTATTTTTTTTTGTTTGTTTGTTTTTGTTGTTTTGTTTTTAGGCTTTTTTTTTTTTTTTCCCCTGTTTAAAAAGGTAAAAATGATTTATAATACACAGTCAGAATGTCGTGGTGCCCGCATAGAAAACCGACATGCAATCCATGCCTACACTGCGCCGTATAAATAAGATGCAACTCAAAATACAAAGAACAGGAACACTACAAAGTTTAATTCTAAGAGGGAGGGAGGGGTTTTTTTTTTAGGGTTTTGTTGGTTTTTTTTTCATTTTTCCTGGTTGTTTTTTAAAAAGGACAGACACACGTAACAAAGGCTACCTGCGCTTTCACATTGCCATCACAGTGACGGGGGGGGCGTTGCTCCGAGGAATAAACGCGCTGGTTTTGGGGTTTCTCCCGAAAAAAAACAGCCAAGGTTTGGATCTGCGGGGAGAGGAGGGGCCTTCCTGCTTCCTTCGTGTCCAGAGGGGGTTCCAGGGTCCTTCCCTAGGGAACAGCTCAAGCCTGAATTGTTGTTTTGACAGAAATCTGAGGTTTTAGCACCCAGGGTTTGTGTTGGAGGGAGATTTAGGTGAATTCCTTTAGATAAACTCAGGGCAGCTTTTGCTCTTGGAATCACGGAATTGAGGTTGGGAAAGAGCCGCCGAAGCAGGGCTGGAAAAGAATCACTGAATTAAGGTTGGAAATGAACCTGAACCTAGTCTGGAACAGAATCACCAAATCGGGGTTGGAAAAGAACGACCGAATCAAGGTGGGAGAAGAAAAATCCCAATCAAGGTTGGAAAAGACCTCCAGAACCACCAAACCCAACCTCCCCCTGAGCTGGAGGCTCACCCAGGAGCGCTCGTGAAAGTGAATTCATCAAACAATCCGTGAAACCACGGAACCAAGGAGTGAGTGCACAGCCCCTGCTGGAAACGTTTCCCCCTCTTGAAAATGGGGCAGAGCCCGGCCCCAGGGCAGTGTGTGTGTGTGTGTGTGTGTGTGTGTGTGTGTGTGTGTGT